TCTGTCATGGAAAATCTGTTTAAAAGTATACAATATGGAATAATTCTCCTACAAATGTCTCAGCACATGTGCCAGTAACAGTGACTACTAATATTAGCATCCCAACTTGTGTAAACAAAACCAGTCATAAAACTCAAACAGCCCATACGCTTCAATGGGACCAGACTGATCTTCCTCTCTATATCGAATCTGTTCAGAATGAAATTTCAAAGTTACAATTGACTAAAAAACCATCCAGTAGCATTCAAAAGATCACTGATGCCTTAATGACAGCTTCAAACAAAGCAGTTCCAACCAAACCCGTCAAATTGAAAGGCCCGAAATGGAAGGCATCGCCAAGAGTTAAAAGCCATTTAAAAAAACTGTACTCAAAATGGAAATTTGAAGGTTAACACCCGGATCATCCTATCAGGAAAAAAATTAAAAACAGAAAAGAAAAAACTCCGTAGCCAACAAAGAAAGGAACATGCTGAAGATAGATTGAATGCTGTAAATTCAGAAATTATTGCGTGCATTTATTATTGCGATTTTGTCATTTAAGACTAAAATGCTATTTTAATTTTTGCGATATTGAGAAAAATCCTGTTTAATTTATATAAAAAAAATTCAAAAATGCGTGTTTAAATTATTGCGATTATAACCATGTCGCATTTTTCGCAATAATAAAAACATCGCAATAATTTCTGAATTTACAGTATATACTGAATAAATGAATGACTAAATATATGTGTTATTTGACCTTCTGAAGGTCCTTTTTATCCATTTTATGTATATATCATTGTATATTTTATCTCTTAAGAATTTTGCATCTCACTCCCAATGTATAGTGCACCACCTCTGGATTTTACCTACATGTAATATAATTTATCTTACATCCCCAAATTGAACTTTTAAATCTTACCCGCTAAGGGGTGTTCCTAATAACAGGAAGCTGATACGAAGAAAATAAAGAAGATGGACGAAGTCGAACCGTTATATTTCTTTCGTCAAATTCTTCCGCTAATAAGGAATTTTAATCGCCACATTTTTTTTTATTTTCGCAAAATGAAAAAATGGCGATCGCCAGCGGAAACCCTGCTGTCAAACCAAAGACTTCCAAAGTTGGTATTTTCTGCTTCTCCACAAAGCAGCATATAGGAGTTAGAGCAGAGAATTGTGTCCTGCAGACTGTTACCTTGTGAACTAGCAAGTTAACAATCTAGCTCAGCCTGTTATATCCATCAATATTAACATGTCCTCATACTAATGTTCATGTCACTGTTGCCTCTGGACATTATAAAGATGAATCCATCATTAGATATAGTAATGGTAATACGGATATGAATACGGATATGCATGTCATAGTTTCCACTGGATGTTACACAACGATCCATCATCCATCATCATGTAGTAATGGTAATACGGATATGCATACGGATATGTATGTCATAGTTTCCACTGGATGTTACACAACGATCCATCATCCACCATCATGTAGTAATGGTAATACGGATATGAATACTGATATGCATGTCATAGTTTCCACTGGATGTTACACAACGATCCATCATCCATCATCATGTTGTAATGGTAATACGGATATGAATACTGATATGCATGTCATAGTTTCCACTAGATGTTACACAACGATTCATCATCCATAATTATTTAGTAATGGTAATACGGATATGAATACTGATATGCATGTCATAGTTTCCACTGGATGTTACACAACGATCCATCATCCATCATCATGTAGTAATGGTAATACGGATATGAATACGGATATGCATGTCATAGTTTCTACTGGATGTTACACAACGATCCATCATCATGTAGTAATGGTAATACTGATATGCATGTAATAGTTTCCACTGGATGTAACACAACGATCCATCATCCATCATTATGTAGAAATGGTACTACGGATATGAATACGGATATGAATGTAATAGTTTTCCAGTGGATGTAACACAACGATCCATCATCCATCATCATGTAGTAATTGTACTACTGATATACATGTTATAGTTTCCACTGGATGATACACAACGATCCATCATCATGTAGTAATGGTACTACTGATGTCATCTTGTGTTTTTGAAATTGAAATTTAAGTTAAGTTATTTAATATTATATAAATCAATCGTCCTTGGACGGGATTCGAACCGTTGTTCCTATTGAATTGCATTGATATCTGCTTTGTGAGCGAGAGACTTATCCTCACTGCTACCCGAATGAACATAATCAAGTGGCAAGTTAAGATACTTAAACTATGCATAGACAAATGAATTAAAAAGTAAATAATTGAGCAAAATCTAATAAAAATAAGCGGGGTGTAAGTACCGAAATGTGTGTATAGCTTACAACTTAATCGTATGAGGAATATAGCGGTGTTTTATACAAATCACAAGTCTGCTAGCAATAAGTTTGCACACGTTTTAGAATTTCGCAAATTAATCGTTTTTGTACCTTTTCGCATGGACTGGCTCATAAAATAGACACCTATACATGTATGTCTCTTGTTTGTTTTTGTATGTCACATTGACGCTTCAACCACATCTAAATTGTTTCGTGATCCCGAGGTAAATAAGTGCTCAAAAGCAAATACAAAGAAAATATAGTCTTGTTTCAACAACTATAAATAAGGGAATTGATCTTAAACCATTGCCGTGACGTCAGCCTATTCATTTACTTTTGTTTCTTTTTCTAGAATCAACGCTTCCTAAAGCTGTTGCTGAAATGAACTCACCAAATCATATCCAACACCCTCCTTATAATTGTTTTCTTTGTGTGCTTACTTTCAGGTTTAAATTGGCCATTTTACTGATTTCTGTTCACTAATTGAATTGATTTTAAAAATTGTCCTTTTTTCACTTTTGTAATATTTATTTGCCTTCGCTGGGTTCCAACACCCTCCTATCAATCTGTTATCAAGCACGTACATCGACGAAACCTCTCCGCCACCTATGGGTTGCAATTAAAATGTCTATATTATATTAATCAATGAACATCAATTAATTTTAAAATATAGAAAAGTACTAAAAAAATATAACAAAAACACCGAACTCCAAGGTAAATTATAAAAAGGAATAACAAAACTGACAAAATCAAAACAAAACAATGTGGAATTCTATGCGACTGTCATACAAGTGATAGGTTTAGCTAGCTATAAAACCAGGTTTAATCCACCATTTTCTACATAAGGAAATGCCTGAATCAAGTCAGGAATATGACAGTTGTTTTCCATTCGTTTGATGTGTTTGAGTTTTTGATTTTGCCATTTGATAAAGGCTTTCCGTTTTGAATTTGGGAGTTCGGTATTTTTGTTATTTTACTTTCATTTTATCAATCGACGGAACGAGTGAAAAACAACTGTCAAAAAGTTTGGATTGTTAATGGAAAGAACATCATCAATATACCTGTATGTAAAATCAAATTATCAAGCTTCTTGATCTTCTTGTTTTTTACAAGTGTCTGAAGGAACTTCGACTCAGATGAAAATAAGAAGAGAGAGAGAGAGAGTATTAACAAATAAAATTTAAATCTTCTACATGTTTAGAGAGTACATTATTTCAATAACCCAACCCGAAAATTTTAATATCTTAATTGCAAATAAGTTTTTTGAATTATTCAGTTATTTTTGTTTTTTTCATTACACAACTAAATTTCTATTGTCGGATAAAGATATCTATATTTCTATCTGTCACAGGGAAGAATACCTCAAAAAAGCAAATACGTATAGTAACCATGTCAATTACTTCTTTTCAACTTTTGATTCACGTTAACTTCATATAATAGTTATATTTTATTTGCAGAAAATTCATAATATATTAGTATTCAAGTAGATTTAAGAGCACACTTATCAGGCTAAGGACGTCTGTATTTAAATCTAACAAAACTATTTCTTTATCTGTAAATGCGGAAATATTTAAAATGTCCTGATAAATGTTGGAATTTCAAAATCAGTGTACAATTCACCATCTTTACAATGCAAACTTTTGTTGGAATTTTTTTAAAAAATGAACTGTAAAGCCGTAAACATTCAAAGGAAAATATTACCCTGATCATCGAAGTAATAGGAAATTAGTGAACTCGAATAATTCAGCGCCCTCTTACGGTCGGTAACCTCCTGAGTTAATGCAGTGATCTTAGTGATGTATACTCCAGAGTTAATGAGGTGATCTTAGTGAGGTATCCTCCAGAGTTAATGCAGTGATCTTAGTGAGCGGAATATAACGACTGGATTATTCGGATTTGAAATAAGTGGGAAATTCCAAGGTTTATTGACGCAGGATATGAACTTAAGTTTTACTGTATTAGCTGTTTAATTCCGTTGATAGTGAGAACGATGTGCTAAAGTTTTAGTTTTACATTTCATTGCGTTATTACAGCTACTATGCAAGTTCCAAGTATAGTCTACGTAGCGTCGTTATTACTCATAAGTAAAAGTCTATCTTCAAAGTGTACAACAACTAGAACCGGAAATGACGTGTCTACGGATTGTCATGGAAGGGGTTTCCGGTATGTGCCTAGACATATTCCTAACGATACTACATATTTAGACTTGTCTGACAATAAGTTGTCCATTATATTTAACTTCTCATTTTCAAGACTGAAAAATATTTCTAGTTTGAAATTATTATCCTCTCAGATATCAATTATCGAGTCAAAGGCGTTTTCTGGATTAGTGAAACTGACTTCTTTGAACTTACGTTATAACACTCTTGATATACATTCTCTACCGGAGAATGTTTTTGATTCGTCATCTTTTTTGAGGATTTTAGATTTATCTCAGAATAACTTCCGTCACTATCCTGAGAAAGTTTTAGAAAAATTATCAAACTTAGAGAGATTATCAATCAATGGTATTAATGACCAAACCTTTGGAAACGGATTTCGTTCTCTACGTAAATTAACATATCTTAATTTTGAACCTTGTATGATTACTAGGATAGGCAACAACACATTTGATGTTTTTAAGAATATACAACTGAAGAAACTATTTTTCAATGCAAGATAAGGTACGTGCAACCAGGTGCTCTCATCCCATTTCAGTCGATAGAAAGTCTCGATATTTCAAACAACTATAATGTCCGGGTATCTTCTTTGCTTCAATTACTTAAAGGTCTTATGGACAGAAATGTAACGTCAATAAACTTTAGCAATAATTTCAGAGCTGTCGCAGCCGCTGACGTATTATTGGCGTCACAGTTTTCAATGATTGGTGCAGTCTGCTTGAAAGAAATCGATTTGACTCGTAACCGAATAATATCGATCCAGTCAGGGGGAATAAATCTAATGAAACATAAAAATTGCCTAGAAAAACTTATTCTCAAAGAGAATAGTATATGGGGTGACCTTGTTATCGTTCTAGAATTGGTTCAACTGGTAAACTTACATTGGTTAGATATATCGAATCAGGCAACGATACACATCAAAACGAAAGTTAAAACAAACATAACATTTGTACATCGTCAAGATATACCAAATACAAAATATTCCTCTGACAGATCAACGTATGCCATCCAACTACCACGTAATCTGCAATATATCGATGCATCTCGTATAGGCGTAAGAAGTACTGGTTTAATTAATCTAAATTTCACAAATGCTGGTAAAGTTGATTTCTTTAGTCTAGCTGGTAATAAATTCATAGATTGTCTTGGTCATTTCCATGGGCTGTCACATTTACAAACACTTGACATATCGGATTTTAATTGTAGTGAGCTTGATCTAAAAATGATCAGTTTTATGCCATATCTGAAAACACTGATTAGCAGAAGAACACATTTAAATGTCGGATTGCAAAATGATGTAAATGGTGAATTTTTAAAACAATCATTAGAAGTGAAACATATTGACATCTCAGACAATGGGTTTTTTACATTCAATCAAAATATGTTTGTATCGCAGTACCGTTCACTCATATCATTAGATTTATCAAAAAACAAATTTTCCAAATTCCCAATTCAAATCAGCAAATTTTCAACTTTGATGAAACTAAGTCTCGTGCAAAATCGGATTGCTTTTCTGCAGAAATCTGATATGAATCAACTAGAGAACTACCAACGTGATAATAATATTGAATTTGAGCTTCTTTTGAATGACAATCATTTTGTTTGCAATTGTGATTCGATCGATTTTCTGAGATGGCTCCAGGAAACAAAAGTGGCTTTAGATAAAAACCGCAACTACTCGTGTGTGTATATTGATAACAGCCAGAAAACCACAGTTTATGCATTCAAACATCTTGAATTCATTGAGAGTAAATGCCTCAGTAAGATATGGCTTACCATAACAATAATTCTTGTGGTGCTTTTTCTTTTCATTTTCACAGCAAGTTCCTTAGCCTACAAATATAGAATAACTCTTCATTTTTGGTACCTTCATATCCGCCGGAAGTACCGCCATTACACGGCACTGGAAGGAGATTCTAAAGAGTACAAGTATAATGCATTCGTTGCTTTTTGTAATGAAGATGAAGAATGGGTTTGTGGGTCTCTCGTTAATTATTTGGAAAAGAAAAATGGTTTGGCGTTATGTTTACACGATAGAGATTTTGCAGCTGGGAAGCTTATTATGGATAATATCATAGAAGCCATTTTTGAAAGCAAAAAAGTAGTTCTTGTTATCAGTGAAGAATTCTTGAAAAGTTCATGGTGCGAGTTTGAACTTGATATGGCGAGAATGAAAATGTTTCAAGACAACAGAGATATGTTGGTCGTTGTCCTGTTGGACAAACTTTCTACGTCACGAATGCCAATTTCCTTACAGAGAATTTGGAACAAAGTGACATGTTTAGAAGTTGACGAAACAATCTGTACAAATCAAAATGACAATTTTGAACATTTATTCTGGAAAAGATTATATGAAGCAGTCGTAATGTAAATGGAAATTTAAAAGTTTATCAATTCTACTTATTACACGAAAAAAAGCAACACTTGAGATGTATTGCATTCCAAAAGCAATGTATGGATAAGTGTCTATAAAACATATAAAGTTCTAAATCACACTGAAACATTGTCGATGAGGAAGTATCGTCAACTTTCTGTAATTATTTTTTAAAATTTATTTGATACAATGTAGACATGTATCAGTTTTCAAGTAGTAAATGTAGGTCTATGACACACGGCCTTCCGATCCTTAACATCATGTGAATATTTCATTTCAGGAATACACTTGAATCATCTATATAAAACAAGTGAGGACTCAGATACATATTGTCAGTGGTGGGAAGGTGGATACAGACGCATAAATGTCTACACTGCAAATGTATATTTGAAAAAATAAGTTCATGTTTAGTAAAAGAAAATGTACCGTGGTCATGAAACAGACATACTATTTCTAGTATGTTTTTGTCGTTATAAATAACCAAGGGAATTTCACAAAAGGAAAAGCCTTTATATTCAACCTAATGAATAGACATTGTCGCATAACATCTAATGTTCCTTTTAGTTGAAAAGCAAAATAAAAACCTTGAATGAATTATTATCTTACTTTCTATACATTTCTAGGAATATCATTGGTTAAAAGCGAACTGACATGATTAAATTTAGAAAATGCCTGTAACATATATAGTGAAAGAATAATTTTGAAGAGTTGAGTTTTTTTCTAGTATTAAAAATGCATAAATTTCATTCAACAGTTCGTTCTGCAGAATATCAATTTGAGAGTCTGTTTTGGCCTGGTGAGTTTTATCCTTTTAGAAAATCTTTTCTTGTAACATTTGAAAAATGTTGTAGGGTTGGAGCTAGTAAAAGGCATACTTTGTAAGGAGCAGAATTAGTATAATTTCTTTTTTTTTCTATGAACTGTTGACAACAAACTTATTATATATACCAGGATTAAAATTGTGTACGCCAGACGCACGTTTCGTCTACAAAAGACTCACCAGTGACGCTCGAATCAATAAAAATAAAAAGACCAAATAAAGTAAGAAGTTGAAGAGCATTGAGGACCCAAAATTCCGAAAGGTTTAGCCAAATACATTTAAGGTTATCTATTCCTGGGTAGACAATCCTTAGTATTTCGAAAAATACAAAGTTGTGTTAACAGTTAATTCTAGTCTTATATTACTTTCATAAATGACTTTGTAGTATAAAACAAATGTGGAACATAAAATGACAATGCCGTAACATTTAAACTATGGAAAACTTTCAAAATATATGAACCATGGAGTAAGGTGGCAGGTTTAAATTATCTCCATGAAATGAGATGTATTAATGACGACGGATGCAACTAGTGCAGCAGGATCTGCTTACCTGTCCGGAGCACCTTAGATAACCCCGGTTTTATGGTGGGATTCGTGTTGCTCAGTCCTTAGTTTTCTACGTTGTGTTTTGTGTATTGTTATTAGTCTTTACGTCGATTTTCGTTTTTTTTTTGTCATGGCATTGTCATAAAAATAAGAAGATGTGGTATGATTGCCAATGAGACAACTCTCCAGAAGAGACCAAATGACACAGAAATTTACAACTATAGGTCACCAAACGGCTTTCAACAATGTGCAAAACCCATACCGCATAGTCACCTATAAAAGGCCCCGAAATGACAAATGTAAATCAATTCAAACGAGAAAATCAACGGCTTAATTTGTGTAAAAAATAATGAACGAAAGACAAATATGATACACAGCAACAAGCGACAACCAGTGAATTACAGGCTCCTAACTTGGGACAGACACATACAGATTGTGGCGGGGTTAGAGTAGTTTGTTGGCGCCGAACCATCCCTCTTACCTAGTACAGTGGTATAACGGCATAACATAAGAACAAACTATGCAAAATAATAAATGAAAAACAAATATGAGAAACAGCAAATACTGACAACCATTCAATTACAAGCTCCTGACGTGTGACAGGCACATATAGAATGTGACGGGGTTAAACTTGTTTAAAGGCGCCAACCCTCCCCTAACATCGGACAGTGGTGTAACAGTACAACATAAGAACAAATTATATAAATCAGTTGAAAAAGGAATAACTCATCAGATAGATACAAATAGAAATACATCTAACAAAAACACAAAATGGACGTGGCAGTTTGTTTTCGACTTATGATTTTGATTATAACTTTGGTATCTTTTGCCTCTCCTATGCTAACTGTATACCGATATACTATTGCCTTACCACATGTATTAGATATGAGATGATTACGTCTGATTTACATATAATTAATAAATTAAAATATTTTATCTTTTCTTTTGTTCTAAAAAAAGCAATAAGTTTTGATAAAACAGGAAAAGTGTCATCTTCTCAAATTTTCCAGATGCAGTAACACTTTTAGAAGATGCTTTGTAGTAATGGATTTTCAATGATATCTTAAATGCGTGTATTTTTCTGTCATGAAATTGATACTTTACCACTGCTTTTGTATGGCAATATGAATCGCTGTACTATCTTGTCAATTCTGTTTTAACTGCCAAAAACTTAACTGTATGCCGATAAATGATAAGCCTTCAATGTAAGTTCATTTGTATATTAACAAGTGGTTCACCTAAACTGTCCTTATAAGAAATTTCAACGAGTTATCTAGTCAAACGTTTCAAAGTCAATTAAATAGTTTTCACTGGAGGATAAGGACCAAATAATCTCCATAGATTTGAGATGTGATAATGCTTATACAACTGCATACTAATGTAATTGACTTTTCATAAGTGATTCCCCTAAAAGAGGGTCTCATTTGGGGGGAGTGGGGCTGATCCCGGATCCCGCTTATTGTTTTGTCAGAATCCCGTATCCCACTTATCATTGCAATAATAGCGCTTGTTATTTAACGTGTCGCTCGACTACGTTTCCTGTTTTCACGCAAAAATAATTTCGCTTTCACGTGTCAAGCTTAAAAAAAGTTGGCACATCCATCGTCACGCTGAGACCGCAAATGAGACACAACCTAAACCGCCCAAATCACAAAGTTTAACAAATTGTTTGATGTTGAAGTTTACACCGCTGAATTCAACATACCTAGGTCTTGCCTGCATGACTTCATTGAGTCAAGGTAAATACTTTCAACTGACCTACTTTGTATAAGAAGACCTGCATGACTTCATTGAGGCAATATACATACTGTGAACTGACCTACTTTGTACAGGTTATCCTTATGTCCAACATTAGGCAGAAAGGTCGATGAAAAGTGTTTCAATTTTGATAGATAAACTGAGAATGGAAACGAGGAATGTGTCAAAGTGATAACAACCCAACCAAATAGCAGAAAGCAGTCCAAGGCCACCAATGCGTCTTCAGCACTGCGAGCAAATCCCGCATATGCAGGCGGGCTTTAACATCAAACTATGTAAGATGAACTTAAATATGAGAAACTTCAAAATTATGTAAAGACTGAGATGTGTCCACTCGTCAGGTATTAGCTGTGACATATATACATTAAACAAGTTAAAAAGGTGAAAAATTACAAACTTCTATAGATTTCAAAATTAAAAGCAATCCTTGAAACAGAGTGATTTTCATCAAAATTTAAAATATGTTATGGTGATGTGTACTCTATATTTCACATACTAAAATGAATAAATTTAGTCATTGTACTTGCTGCAAGAAAAATGCTCGTCCCTATATTTAATAAAACAGATATTTCGGATTTGATCATTGTATTAACTTCATACAATGAAATAAAAACTAAATCTCATTAATTTGTAATTCTATTCTAAATGTTGGTCAATTCTTTTAAAGAAGCAGTATCTACAGTTTCCAGGAAAAATTATTCCTATTTTTGTCATGAATATAGTGCATTTTGTATATCAAATATCAATGAAATATGTGATGGTATAACTAACCAAAATGTTTCAATCATTTAAGTACCTTAAATTGGATCACTATATATTTTTGTTTTTTTCATTACGCAACTTCATTTCGATTAAAATAGATATCTATATTTCCAACTGTCATGTCGAAGAATAACTCAAAAAAGCAAAAACGTATAGTAACCATGTCAATTACTTTTTTTCAAGTTTTGATTCACGTTAACTACATATAAAAGAGGGACGAAAGATACCAGAGGGACAGTCATACTCATAGATCGAAAACAAACTGACAACGCCATGGCCAAAAATAAAAAGACAAACAGACAAATAATAGTACAGATGACACAACATAGAAAACTAAAGACTACGCAACACGAACCCCACCAAAAACTGGGGGTGATCTCAGGTGCTCCGTTATATCCTATTTCCAGAAAAATGCATAATATATTTGTATTTTTAGTATATTTTAGAGCACACTTATCAGGCTAAGGACGTCTGAATCTAAATTTAACAAACTTATTTCTTTATCTGTAAATGCGGAAATATTTAAAATGTCCTGATAAATGTTGGAATTTCAAAATCAGTGTACAATTCACCATCTCTACAGTGCAAACTTTTGTTAGAATTTAAAAAAAATGGAACTTAAAAGCCGTAAACTTTCAAAGGAAGATATTACCCTAATCACCGAAGTGATAGGAAATTAGTTAACTCGAATAATTCAGCGCCCTCTTACGGTCGGTGTCCTCCAGAGTTAATGGAGTGATCTCAGTGAGCGGATTATAACGACTGGATTATTCGGGTTAGAAATTAGTGGTTAATTCCGATTATAACGACTGGATTATTCGGGTTAGGAATTTATGGGAAATTCCGAGGTTTATTGACGCAGGATATGAACTTAATTTAAACTGTATTATCTGATTAATTACATTGATAGTGAGAACAAGGTGCTAAAAAATAATTTTACATTTCTTTGCGTTATTACAGCTACAATGAAAATTCTAAGGATAGTCTACGTAGCGTCGTTATTACTCATAAATAAAAGTCTATCTTCAAAGTGTACAACAACTAGAACCGGGAATCATGTGTCTATGGATTGTCATGGAAGGGGTTTCCGGTATATGCCTAGAAATATTCCTAACGATACTACGTATTTAGACTTGTCTGACAATGAGTTGTCAGTTATATCTAACTTTGCGTTTTCAAGACTGAAAAATGTTTCTAGTTTGAAATTATTATCCTCTCAGATATCAGTTATCGAGTCAAAAGCGTTTTCTGGATTAGTCAAACTGACTTCTTTAGACTTAAGTAATAACACTCTTCACATACCCTCTCTGCCAGAGAATGTTTTTGATTCTTCATCTGTTTTGAGGATTTTAGATTTATCTCAGAATAACTTCCGTCACTTTACTGAGAAAGTTTTAGAAAAATTATCAGACTTAGAAAGATTATCAATCAATGGTGTTAACGACCAAAACTTTGGAAACGGATTTCGTTCTCTACGTAAATTAACATATCTTAATTTTGAACCTTGTATGATTACTAGAATAGGCAACAACACATTTGATGTTTTTAAGAATATACAACTGAAGGAAATGATTTTTCATTGTAAGATAAGGTACGTGGCGCTCTCAACCCATTGCAGTCGATAGAAAGTCTCGATATTTTAAACAACTATAATGTCCGGGTATCTTCTTTGCTTGAATTACTGAATGGTCTTATGGACAGAAATATAACATCAATAAACTTTACCAATAATATCAGAACTGTCGTCTCCACTGACGTTTTGTTGGCATCACAGTTTTCAATGATTGGAGCAGTCTGCGTGAAAGAAGTCGACCTGAGTCGTAACCGTATAATATCGATACAGTCAGGAGGAATAAATTAAATGAAACATACAAATTGCTTAGAAAAACTTATTCTCAAAGAGAATAATATATGGGGTGAGCGTAGTATTGTTATAGAATTTTTTCAACTGGTAAACTTACGTTGGCTAGATATATCTAATCAGGTAACGTTACACGTCGAAACGAAAGTTAACAAAAACAAACACTGTACGTCGTCTAGATATAACAGAAACAAATATTCCTCTGACAGATCAACGTTTGCCTTCCAAGTACCACGTTATCTGCAATATATTAATGCATCATATGTTGGCATTGGGGTACTGGTTTAATTAATCTAAATTTCACCAATGCTGGTAAAGTGGATTTCTTAAATCTAGCTGGTAATAAATTCATAGATTGTCTTGGACATTTCCAAGGACTGTCACATTTACAAACACTTGACATATCGGATTTTAATTGTAGTGAGCTTGATCTAAAAATGATCAGTTTTATGCCATATTTGAAAACAATGATAAGCAGAAGAACACATTTAAATGTCGGATTGCAAAATGATGTAAATGATGAATTTTTAAAACAATTATTTGAGGTGAAACATATTGACTTCTCAGACAATGGGTTTGTTACATTCAATCAAAACATGTTTGTATCGCAGTACCGTTCACTCATTTCATTAGAATTATCAAAAAACAAATTTTCCAGATTCCCAATTCAAATCAGCAAATTTTCAACTTTGATGAAATTAAGTGTAGTGCAAAATCGGATTGCTTATCTACAGAAATCTGATATGAATCAACTGGAGAACTACCTACGTAAGAATAATGTTAAATTTGAGCTTCTCTTTAATGGCAATCGTTTCGTTTGCAATTGTGATTCGATAGATTTTCTGAGATGGCTACAGGAAACAAAAGTGGCTTTAGATAAAAACCGCAACTACTCGTGTGTGTATATTGATAACAGCCAGAAAAATACAGTTTATGCATACAAACATCTTGAATTCATTGAAAGTAAATGTCTCAGTAAGATATGGCTTACCATAACCATAATTGTTGTGGTGGTTTTTCTTTTCATTTTCACAGCAAGTGTGTGTCATAGCATACAAATATAGAATAACTCTACATTTTTGGTACCTTCATATCCGCCGGAAGTACCGCCATTACACAGCACTGGAAGGAGATTCTAAAGAGTACAAGTATAATGCATTCGTTGCTTATTGTAATAAAGATGAAGAATGGGTTTGTGGGTCTCTCGTTAATTATTTGGAAAAGAAAAATGGTTTGGCGTTATGTTTACACGATAGAGATTTTGCAGCTGGGAAGCTTATTATGGATTATATCATAGACGCCATTTTTGAAAGCAAAAAAGTAGTTCTTGTTATCAGTGAAGAATTCTTGAAAAGTTCATGGTGCGAGTTCGAACTTGAAATGGCGAGAATGAAAATGTTTCAAGACAACAGAGATATGTTGGTCGTTGTCCTGTTGGACAAACTTTCTTCGTCACAAATGCCAATTTCCTTACAGAGAATTTGGAACAAAGTGACATGTTTAGAAGTTGACGAAACAATCTGTACAAATCAAAATGACAATTTTGAACATTTATTCTGGAAGAGATTATATGAAGCAGTCGTGATGTAAATGGAAATTTAAAAGTTAATCAATTCTACTCATTACACGAAAAAAACAAAACATTTGCGATGTTGTGCATTCCTAAAGCAATGTATGGACAAGTGTCTATAAAACATATCAAGCTCTTAATCACACTAAAACATTGTCGATGAAGAATTATCGTCAAGTTTCTGTAATTATTTATTTAAATTTATTTGTTACAATGTAGACATGTATCAGTTTACAATGAGTGAATGTATGTCTATGACACACGGCGTTCCCATCCTGAACATCATATGAATATTTCATTTCCGGAATACACTTGAAACATCTATATAAAACAAGTGAGGACACAGATACATATTGTCAGTGGTGCAAAGGTGGATACAAACGCATAAATGTCTACACTGCAAATGTATATGTGACAAAATAAGTTAATTTTTAGTAAAAGAAAATGTACTGTGGTCATGAAACAGACATACTACTTCTAATAGGTTTTTGTCGTTATGAATAAACAAGGGCATTTGACAACAGGCAAAACCTTTATATTCAAACTACTGGATAGCCATTGTCGTTTAACACCTAATGTTCCTTTTAGTTGGAAAGGAAAAGACATACCCTGAATGAATTATTATCTTACTTCCTATACATTTCTAGGAATATCATTGGTTAAAAGCGAACAGACATGCCTAAATTTATTAATGTCTGTATAGTGAAAGAATAATTTTGAAGAGTTGAGGTTGTTCTACTATTAAAAATACATAACTTTCCTTCAACAGTTCGTTCTGAAGGATATTAGTTTGAGTTTTATCCCTTTAGAACATCTTTTCTTGTAACATTTAAAAAAAATGTTGTAGGGTTGGAGCTAGTAACAGGCATACTTTGTAAGGAACAGAATTAGTATTATTTCTTTTTTTCTCTGAACTGTTGACAACAAACTTATCATATATCTCAGGATTAAAATTTGTGTACGCCAGGCGCACGTTTCGTATAAAAAAGACTCATCAATGACGCTCGAATCAAAAAAATAATAAAAAGACCAAATAAAGTAAGAAATTGAAGAGCAAAATTCCGAAAGGTTTTGCCAAATACAGCTAAGTTAATTTTTTCCTGGGAAAGAAAATCCTAAGTATTTCGAAAAATACAAAGTTGCGTAAACAGTTAATTCTGGTCTTATATTACTTTCATAAATGTAGTATAAAACAAATGTGGAACTTACAATGACAATGCTTTAACATTTAAACTATGGAAAACTTTCAAAATACATACCATAAAGTGAGATGGCAGGTTTAAATGATCTCCAAGGAAATGCGATGTGTTAATAAAGACGGGTGTACCTAGTGGAGCAGGATCAACTTACCCTTCCAGAACACCTTTGATAACCCCGGTTTTATGTTGGTGTTGGTGTTGCTTTGTCCTTACTTTTCGATGTTGTGTTTTGTGTATTGTTGTTAGTCTTTACGTCAATTTTCGTTTTTTGCCATGGCATTGTCATAAAAATAGGAAGATGTGGTATGATTGCCATTGAGACAACTCTCCACAAGAGACAAAATGAAACAGATATAAACAACTATAAGTTACCATACTGCAATGAGCAAAATCCATACCGCATAGTCACCTATAAAGGGCTTCGAAATGACATATGTAAAACAATTCAAACGAGAAAACTAACGGCTTAATTTGTGTAAAAAATAATGGACGAAAAACAAAATTGATACACAGCAAAAAAAAGAGGGGCGAAAGATACCAGAGGAACATTCAAACTCATAAGTCGAAAACAAACTGACAACACCATGACTAAAAAAGAAAGAGACAAACAGACAAACAATAGTACACAAAACACACCATCGAAAACTAAAAACTAAGCAACACGAACTCCAACCAAAAACTGGTAGTGGTCTCAGGTGCCCTGGAAAGGGTAAGCAGATCCTGCTCCACATGTGGCACTTGTCGTGTTGCTTATGTTAGTACAAACCCGGTTACAAACGACAACCACTGAATTACAGGCTCCTTACTTGGGACAGACACATACTGAATGTGTCCGGGTTTAACTAATTTGTTGGCGCCAAACAATCCCCCTTACCTGGGACAGCGGTGTAACGGCACAATATAAGAACAAACTATGCAAAACAATAAATGGAAAACAAATATGAGAAACACCAAATACTGACAACCACTCAATTACAGGCTCCTAACTTGCGAAAGGCACATATAGGCATTCTTTTTTTACTTATGAGTTTTATTATCACTTTGGTATCTTTTGCCTCTCCTATGCTGATACAACTGTATACCGAAATACTATTGCTTTACCGCATGTTTTAGATATGAGACGATTACATCTGATTTAATTAGAACTTATAAATAAATATTTTATACTTTCTCTTGTTCTATAAAGAGCAATGAGTTATGATAAACAGGAAAAAATGTCATCTTTCCAAATTTTGCAGATACAGTAACACTTTCAGAAGATGTTTTGTAGTCATTGATTTGAATGATATCTTAATTGCGTCTATTTGTCTGTCATGAAATTGATACCTTACCACTGCTTTTGTATGGCAATATGAATCGCTGTACTATCTTGTCTTTTTCAGGTTTAATTGCCAAAATCTTAACTGTATGCCGATAAATGATAAGCCTTCTAGTAAGTAAGTAAGTAAGTAGATCATTTATTATAGTGACATGTGTAGCATAAATAATATTACATAACAATAATACAATAGCTGTTTTAAATTACACCTGGCCCGTTCGACCTATAAGTCACTTTAAACTTAATGTTCATATTTTCAATAAGCAATGTGAGATTTTTACTTGTAAAGAAGTTCCTTCCTTCCTTTTACAGAAAAATAAAATTACATATTTGGCGGTTTGTCTTTGATGAAGTGTCATCAAATTAGCAAATGTTCTATTATCAATAAAATTACTATCAATGTTCGCTGATTCAAATAACAAGTTTCTTAGTTTATTGTAAGCTTTACAGTACAGTAAGAAATGATTTTCATCTTCGACAGATTGGTCGTCGCATAAGGTGCTCAAACGTTCATCAGGAGCCTCATTTCTAAATCGCCCAATTTCAATGCGCAAATGTAGTATACATCGTTCTTGTTTCTTGATGTTCATTTTGACATAAAGTTTATTACCGATTTATTACAGTTCTAAAGAAATACCTTTTTCGTAAGTCTATCATTGCCTTTTTTACAAGGCGGTTCCATCTTCTTACCATACAAATCCACCGTCTGAAAGTTGGCTGTAACCATCCTAGTTCAATTTTCAGAGAAACAACTGGTGCTAATCTGTGTAATCCCAAAAAGTATCTAACAGCACGGTTTTGTACAGCTTCAATGGTGTGGTATGTTTTATACCCCCAAACACTTGCACAATAGTCAATGACTGGTACGACACACGATTCGAAAAGGGTTTCAAACGTTTTAAGTGCAACATCCTTAAAATTATGAATTTATGATATCATTCCTCCTTGTGCCTTTCCTCCAGTTTTACCTAATGTTTCGGTGGCAACACTAAAATCCATTTTATCATGGAAAATAATGCCAAGATATTTGTATTGACTTACATATTGTAAACTATTTGGTCCAATCTTGAAATCAAAGTTGCTTTGTGAGACACACTGTTTTCTAAAATGCATGAAATTTGATTTTGAACAATTAACACCAACTGTACAAAACATCTAAGTAACGTTGCACATCATTTGTGGTCTCTGTTGGCATAACAATGTCGTCTGCATATAAAAGAAGACCGTTTTTGTCGTTAATACACGGTATTCCAGTCTCTAGATATTTAATTCCAGTAGCTGAATCGTTGACAAATAGATCCAACAAAGTAGGCGATAAAGTATCCCCTTGGCGGACGCCATTTGAACACTGGAACCAATTTGAACGATGATCATTTACGCAGACACATGATTCTGTTTCAATATATAAGCTAGAAAAAGCATTATACATGTTTCCGTCAATTCCATTTAATTTGTATTGTAATAAATATCTATCTACATAATCGAAGGCTTTTTGCAGATCCACGAAGGTAGCAAATGTTGATTTTCCTGTCCTGAATTAAACAATTCAAAGAGAGCACATGATCCTCACATGACCTATCTCTTCTCAAACCGTTTTGTTCATCAACAATTAATCTGTTATCTTCTAAATACTGTTGCACTCGATTGATTAAAGTAGAGCTGTAACCTTATCTTCTATGTAAGTACATTTGTATATTAACAAGTGGTTCACCTAAACTGTCTTTATAACAAATTTTAACATGTTATCTATGCAAACATTTCAAAGTCAATTAAATAGTTATCACTGGAGGATAAGGACCCGGATCCCGCTTATTGTTTTGTCAGAATCCCGTATCCTGCTTATCATTGCAATAATAGCGCTACCTTGTGATTTCAAGTGCCGCCCGACTTCGTTTCCCGTTTTCACGCAAAATAATTTCACTTTCATGTGTCACGCTTAGATCCCACAAGAGACCCAACCTAAACCGCCCAAATCACAAACTTTAACAAATAGTTTGATGAAGTCTACACTGCTGAATTTAACATACATAGGTCTTGCCTGCATGACTTCATTCAGGCAAGATAAATACTTTCAACTGACCTACTTTGTATAAGAAGACCTGCATGACTTCATTGAGGCAATATACATACTGTGAACTGACCTACTTTATACAGGTTATCTTTGTGTCCCATATCAGGCCGAAAGGTCATTGAAAAGTTTTTCAATTTTAATAGATTAAATTGAGAATGGAAACGGGGAATGTGTCAAAGAGATAACAACCCGACCAAAGAGCAGAAAGCAGTCCAAGGCCACCAATGGGTCTTCAGCACAGCGAGAAAATCCCGCATCCGGAGGTGGGCTTCAACATCAAACTATGTAAGATGAACTTAAATATGAGAAACTTGAAAACTATGTAAGGACTGAGATTTGTCCACTCATCAGGTATTTGCTATGACATTTATACATCTAACAAGTTAAAAAGGTGAAAAACGACAAACTTCTATAGATTTCAAAATAAAACGCAATCCTTGTGATTTCATCAAAATATAAAAATTTTTAAGGTGATGTGTACTCTATTTTTCAAATACTGAAATGAATAAAATTAGTCATTTTACCTGCTAAAAGAAAAAAAAAATATTAGTCCCCATATTTTATAAATCAGATATTTCGGATTTGATCATTGAATTAACTTCATACAATGCAAGAAATAAAAATTAAATCTCATTAATTGTAATTCTATTCTAAATGTTGGTCAATTTTTTTTATAGAAGCAGTATTTTCAGTTTCCCTGGAAAAATTATTCCTATATTTGCCATGAATAAAGTGCATTTTGTATATAAAATATCAATGAAATATTCTATAGTATAACCTTCAAAAATCTTTCAATCATCTTTGTACCTGAAATTGGATCACTATTTTTTTTTCATTACGCAACTTAATCTCTATTGTCTTATAAAGATATCTATATTTCCAACTGTCATGTGGAAGAATAACTAAAAAAAATCAAATACATATAGTAACCATGTCAATTCAAGTTTTGATTTACGTTAACTACATATAAAAGTTACATCCTATTTCCAGGAAATGCATAATACATTTGTATTTAAGTATATTTAAGAGCACACTTATCAGACTCAAGATGTCTGTATCTAAATTTAACAAATTTATTTCCTAATATGTATATGCGGAAATTTTTCAAATATCCAGATCAAAGTTGGAATGTTAGAATCAGTGTACAATTCACCATCTTTACGGTGCAAACTTTTGTTGAAATTATTAAAAAAGGAACTATTAAGCCGGAAATGTTCAAAGGAAAATAATACCCTGATCAGGAAATTAGTTAACTCGAATAATTGAGCACCTCTTGCGGTCGGTGTTCTCCAGAGTTAATATAGTGTTCTCGGTGAGCGGAATATAACGACTGGATTATTCAGGTTAGAAATTAGTGGGAAATTCCGATTATAACGACTGGATTATTTGGGTTAGAAATTAGTGGGAAATTCCGATTATAACGACTGGATTATTCGGGTTAGAAATTAGTGGGAAATTCCGAGGTTTATTGACGCAGGATATGAACTTAAGTTTAACTGTATTATCTGATAATATATATAATTAGTTCCGTTGATAGTGAAAACGAGGTACTAAAAATTTAATTTTACTTTTCTCTGCGTTATTACAGCTACAATGAAAGTTCTAAGGATAGTCTACGTGGCGTCGTTATTCCTCATAAATAAAAGTATATCTTCAAAGTGTAAAACAACTAGAACCGTAAATGACGTGTCTACGGATTGTCATGGAAGGGGTTTCCGGTATGTGCCCAGAAATATTCCTAACGATACTACATATTTAGACTTGTCTGACAATGAGTTGTCCGTTATATTTAACTTCGCGTTTTCAAGTCTAAAAAATGTTTCTAGTTTGAAATTATTATCCGCTCAGATATCAGTTATCGAGTCAAAAGCGTTTTCTGGATTAGTTAAACTGATTTCTTTGGACTTACGTAATAACACTCTTGATATACATTCTCTACCGGAGAATGTTTTTGATTCGTCATCTTTTTTGAGGATTTTAGATTTATCTCAGAATAACTTCCGTCACTATCCTGAGAAAGTTTTAGAAAAATTATCAAACTTAGAGAGATTATCAATCAATGGTATTAACAACCAAAACTTTGGAAACGGATTTCGTTTTCTACGTAAATTAACATATCTTAATTTTGACCCTTGTATGATTACTAGAATAGGCAACAACACATTTAATGTTTTTAAGAATATAAAACTGAAGGAACTGTATTTTCATTGTAAGATAAGTCATGTGGAACCAGGCGCTCTCAATCCATTGCAGTCGATAGAAAGTCTCGATATTTCAAAAAACTATCATGTCCGGGTATCTTATCTGCTTGAATTAATGAATGGTCTTATGGACAGAAATATAACATCAATAAACTTTTCCAAAAATTTCAGAACTCTCGCCTCCAGTGACGTTTTGTTGGCATCACAGTTTTCAATGATTGGAGCAGTCTGCGTAAAAGAAGTCGACTTGAGTCGTAACCGTATAATATCGATACAGTCAGGAGGAATAAATTTAATGAAACATAAAAATTGCTTAGAAAAACTTATTCTCAAAAAGAATAGTATATTGGGAGACCGTAGTATTGTTATAGAATTGGTTCAACTGGTAAACTTACGTTGGCTAGATATATCGAATGAGGTAACGTTACACGTCAAAACGAAAGTTAATAAAAACAAACACTGTGAACGTCGTCTAGATATAACAGACACAAAATATTCCTCTGACAGATTAACGTTTGCCTTCCAACTACCACGTAATCTGCAATATATAGATGTATCATATTTTGGTATAAGAAATTCTGGTTTAGTTAATCTAAATTTCACCAATGCTGGTAAAGTGGATTTCTTAAATCTAGCTGGTAATAAATTCAAAGATTGTCTTGGACATTTCCAAGGACTGTCACATTTACAAACACTTGACATATCGGATTTTAATTGTAGTGAGCTTGATCTAAAAATGATCAGTTTTATGCCATATCTGAAAACACTGATTAGCAGAAGAACACATTTAAATGCAGGATTGCAAAATGATGTAACTGGTGAATTTTTAAAACAATTATTTGAGGTGAAACATATTGACTTCTCAGACAATGGGTTTGTTACATTCAATCAAAACATGTTTGTATCGCAGTACCGTTCACTCATTTCATTAGATTTATCAAAAAACAAATTTTCCAAATTCCCTATTCAAATCAGCAAATTTTCAACTTTGATGAAATTAAGTCTCGTACAAAATCGGATTTCTTTTCTACAGAAATCTGATATGAATCAACTGGAGAACTACATACGTAAGAATAATATTAAATTTGAGCTTCTTTTGAATGGCAATCGTTTCGTTTGCATTTGTGATTCTATCGATTTTCTGAGATGGCTTCAGGAAACAAAAGTTACACTAGATAAAAACCGCAACTACTCGTGTGTGTATATTGATAACAGCCAGAAAACAACAGTTTATGCATACAAACATCTTGAATTCATAGAAAGTAAATGTCTCAGTAAGATATGGCTTACAATAACAATAATTTGTGTGGTGGTTTTTCTTTTCATTTTCACATCAAGTGTTATAGCATACAAATATAGAATAACACTACATTTTTGGTACCTTCATACCCGCCGGAAGTACCGCCATTACACAGCACTGGAAGGAGATTCTAAAGAGTACAAGTATAATGCATTCGTTGCTTATTGTAATGAAAATGAAGAATGGGTTTGTGGGTCTCTTGTTAATTATTTGGAAAAGAAAAATGGTTTAGCATTATGTTTACACGATAGAGATTTTGCAGCTGGGAAGCTTATTATGGATAATATCATAGACGCCATTTTTGAAAGCAAAAAAGTAGTTCTTGTTATCAGTGATGAATTCTTGAAAAGTTCATGGTGCGAGTTCGAACTTGATATGGCGAGAATGAAAATGTTTCAAGACAACAGAGATATGTTGGTCGTTGTCCTGTTGGACAAACTTTCTACGTCACAAATGCCAATTTCCTTACAGAGAATTTGGAACAAAGTGACATGTTTAGAAGTTGACGAAACAATCTGTACAAATCAAAATGGCAATTTTGAACATTTATTCTGGAAAAGACTATATGAAGCAGTCGTGATGTAAATGGAAATTTAAAAAGTTAATCAATTCTACTCATTACACGAAAAAAAAAAAAAAAACATCTGCGATGTTGTGCATTCCTAAAGCAATCTATGGACAAGTGTCTATAAACCATATAAAGCTCTAAATCACACTGAAACATTGTTGATTAAGAAGTATCATCAACTTTGTGTTATTTTTCTATTAATTTATTTGTTACAATGAAGACATGTATCAGTTTACAAGTAGTAAATGTATGTCTATGACACACGGCGTTCCGATCAATAAAATCATGTGAATATTTCATTTCCGGAATACACTTGAAACATCTATATTAAACAAGTGAGGATACAGATACATATTGTCAGTGGTGCAAAGGTTGATACAGACGTATAAATGTCTACACTGCAGATGTATATGTGACAAAATAAGTTCATTTTTAGTAAAAGAAAATGTACTGTGGTCATGAAACAGACATACTACTTCTAATATGTTTTTGTCGTTATGAATAACCAATGGAATTTGACAACAGGCAAAACCTTTATATTCAAACTACTGGATAGGCATTGTCGTTTAACACCTAATGTTCCTTTTAGTTGGAAAGCAAAAGACATACCCTGAATGAATTATTATCTTACTTCCTATACATTTCTAGGAATATCATTGGTTAAAAGCGAACAGATATGCCTCAGTTTAGAAAATGTCAGTAACATATATAGTGAAAGAATAATTTTGAAGAGTTGAGCTTTTTTATAGCATTAAAAATACATAACTTTCATTCAACAGTTCGTTCTGAAGGATATCAATGTGAGACTCTGTTTTAGCCTTGTGAGTTTTATCCCTTTAGAACATCTTTTCTTGTAACATTTAAAAAATGTTGTAGGGTTGGAGCTAGTAACAGGCATACTTTGTAAGGAGCAGAATTAGTATAATTTCTTTTTTTCTATGAACTGTTGACAACAAACTTATCATATATCTCAGGATTAAAGTTTGTGTACGCCAGACGCACGTTTCGTATACAAAAGACTCAACAATGACGCTCGAATCAAAAAAATTAAAAAGACCAAATAAAGTAAGAAATTGAAGAGCATTGAGGACCCAAAATTCCGAAAGGTTTTGCCAAATACAGCTTAGTTAATTTTTTCCTGGGAAAGAAAATCCGAAAAAGACAAAGTTGCATAAACAGTTAATTCTGGTCTTATATTACTTTCATAAATTTTGTATAAAACAAATGTGGAACTTAAAATGACAATGCTTTAACATTTAAACTATGGAAAACTTTCAAAATATATATATCATAAAGTGGGGTGGCAGGTTTAAATGATCTCCAAGGAAATGAGATGTGTTAATGAAGACGGGTGTACCTATTGGAGAAGGATCAACTTACTCTTCCAGAACACCTTAGATAACCCCGGTTTTTTGTTGGGGTTGGTGTTGCTCTGTCTTTACTTTTCGATGTTGTGTTTTGTGTATTGTTGTTAGTCTTTACGTCAATTTTCGTTTTTTGCCATGGCATTGTCATAAAAACAGGAAGATGTGGTATGATTGCCAATGAGACAACTCTCCACAAGAGACAAAATGAAACTGATATTAACAACTATAAGTCACCATACGGCAATGAGCAAAATCCATACCGCATAGTCACCTATAAAGGGCCCGGAAATGACAAATGTAAAACAATTCAAACGAGAAAACTAACGGCTTAATTTGTGTAAAAAATAATGGACGAAAAACAAAAATGATACACAGCATAAAAAGGAGGGGCGAAAGCTATCAGAGGAACATTCAAACTCATAAGTCGAAAACAATCTGACAACGCCATGGCTACAAAAGAAAAAGACAAACAGACAAACAATAGTACACAAAACACAACATAGAAAACTAAAGACTAAGCAACACGAACCCCACCAAACCTGGGGGGTGGGGGTGATCTCAGGTGCTCCGGAAAGGGTAAGCAGATCCTGCTCCACATGTGGCACTTGTCGTGTTGCTCATGTTAGTACAAACCCGGTAACAAACGACAACCACTGAATTACAGGCTCCTTACTTGGGACAGACACATACAGAATGTGGCGGGGTTAAACTAATTTGTTGGCGCCAAACAATCCCCCTTACCTGGGACAGTGGTGTAATGCCACAACATAAGAACAAACTATGCAAAACAATAAATGGAAAACAAATATGAAAAACACCAAATACTGACAACCACTCAAATACAAATGACTTGTGACAGGCATATATAGAATGTGGCGGGGTTAAACCCTCCCCTAATCTGGGACAGTGGTGTAAGTACAACATAAGAACAAACTATAAAAATCAGCTGAAAAAGGCTTAACTCATCAGATGGATACAAATATAAATACATCTAACAAAAAAACACAGAGTGGACGTGGCAATTTTTTTATGAGTTTTATTATCACTTTGGTATCTTTTGCCTCTCCTATGCTGATAAAACTGTATACCGACATACTATTGCCCTCCACATGTATTAGATATGAGACGATTACATCTGATTTAAATAGAAGTAATAAATAAATATTAAATTTTTTCTCTCGTTCTTAAAAGAGCAATTAGTTTTGATAAAACAGGAAAAGTGTCATCTTCTCAAATTTTCCAGATACAGTAACACTTTCAGAAGATCTTTTATAGGTATGGATTTGAATGATATCTTAATTGCTATAAAAAAAGAAGATGTGGTATGACTGCCAATGAGACAACTCTCCACAAGAGACCAAATGACACAGAAATTAACAGCTCTAGGTCACCGTACGGCCATCAACAATGAGCAAAGCCCATATCTCATAGTCAGCTATATAAGGCTCCGAAATCACAAATGTAAAACAATTCAAACGAGAAAACTAACGGCCTAAAAATGAACGAAAACAAATATGTAACACAGTAACAACGACAACCACTGAATTACAGGCTCCTGACTTGGGACAGGCACATACATACAGAATGTGGCGGGGTTAAACATGTTAGCGGGGTCCAACCCTCCCCCTAACCTTGGACAGTGGTGTATCAGTACAACATAAGAACGAACTATAAAAATCAGTTGAAAAAGGCTTACCTCATCAGATGGATACAAATAGAAATACATATAACAAAAACATAGAGTGGACGTGGCCGGGTACTTGTACATCCCAACAACAAATAGACACTTATTACAGATCTGAGAGTGCTCACAGTTACTGACAGCAAGTTCAGAGCCAATAACAACATCGAAAAAAAAACATGCATCTAAGACTAAATTATCAATCAGTACACATTCAACATCCAATAGATTTAGTGTAAAGACGTAATAAACAGTCAGAGAAAAACATGACCTTGTGCAATGCCAAGATACAGGAATCCACAGATTGTAGATCCATAAAAGTGCATATGTATATAACAATAATACTCAGTTTGCTTTTAATTTACCGATAACAAAATCAATATTAATACCAATAAAAACAATATTCAAAGATCTAATGACAGTGTTGAATTGGTAACCTTTTAGAATAAGTTTATTTGAAGGATCGATAAGTTTACCAAGATCGTTTCTAAATTTCCGGGCACGGTAAACAACATCTCCGTTAAAAAGAGGATGTACTATCCCGTTTGAAATAAGTTTTCTACAGGTACAACCAAACTTTGAAACCAAACCTTTACGTCTATGGAAGAATTTAGTAAAAGTTTTATGTAATTTGTGGTAACGAAATCCCTGACTTAATAATCTACCAGTAATACAAAGTTTACGTTCGTTAAAATCTAAAACGTCACAACAGACACGGGCATAGCGAACGAGTTGTGAAATATAAACAGCGTAAGATAGAGCCAAAGGAACATCACCATAAAAAAAAGGAAAATTGACAAAAGGGAACGAAAATCGTCCCTTTTGTCGTAAATTTTAGTGTGGAGTTTCCCGTGTAAAACTAAAATATCTAAATCTAGGAAAGGACAGTTATTAGCGTTTACGTTTGGTTTATTTAAAGGAAGTTTCTTTGGGTAAATTTCGGCAGTATATTTAGAAAATTCTTAATTATTTAACGAAAAAATATCATCAAGATAACGGTAAGTGTTGTTGAATTTATCAATTAAATGCAATTTAGACGGGTCTTTACTGAGTTTGGTCATAAACTGTGATTCATAACAGTACAAAAACAAGTCTGCCATTAAAGGGGCGCAATTAGTGCCCATAGGAATACCTACAATCTGTCGATGAACTTTGTTGCCGAAACGTACATAGTTATTATCTAGGAGAAAATAAACAGAATCAATCATCTCATCACACCTCCAGTAAGTATATCTAGCATATTTACCTTTCTCATTAGAGAAGAAGGCTTTAAATGAGTTGCTGCGTCTATTTGTCTGTCATGCAATTGATACCTTACCACTGCTTTTGTATGGCAATATGAATCGCTGTACTATCTTGTCTTTTTCAGGTTTAATTGCCAAAATCTTAACTGTATGCCGATAAATGATAAGCCTTCTAGTAAGTAAGTAAGTAAGTAAGTAAGTAAGTAAGTAAGTAGATCATTTACTATAGTGACATGTGTAGCATAAATAATATTACATAACAATAATACAATAGCTGTTTTAAATTACACCTGGCCCGTTCGACCTATAAGTCACTTTAAACTTAATGTTCATATTTTTAATAAGCAATGTGAGATTGTTACTTGTAAAGAAGTTCCTTCCTTCCTTTTACAGAAAAATAAATTTACATATTTGGCGGTTTGTCTTTGATGAAGTGTCATCAAATTAGCAAATGTTCTATTATCAATAAAATTACTATCAATGTTCGCTGATTCAAATAAAAGGTGTCTTAGTTTATTGTAAGCTTTACAGTACAGTAAGAAATGATTTTCATCTTCGACTGATTGGTCGTCGCATAAGGTGCAGAAACTTTCATCAGGAGCCTCATTTCTAAATCGCCCAGGTGCAATCCGCAAATGTAGTACACATCGTTCTTGTTTCTTGATGTTCATTTTGGCATAAAGTTCAGTCTCGTACTTATGTTTAATCGTAATGTTGGTCCTTAAATTTGTGAAAGTAGTGATTTTACCAGTCCAATCTTTTCACAGTATTTTAAAAAGTTCAATGTTGCATACATTTACATTTTCATAGCAACTGTCCATGTCCACTTTGTGAATAATGTCCTTCATCTGAGAACTCCACTGGCCCGATTTATTACCGATTTATTATAGTTCCAAAGAAATACCTTTTTCGTAAGTCTATCATTGTCCTTTTTTACAAGGCGGTTCCATCTTCTTACCATACAAATCCACCGTCTAAAAGTGGGCTGTAACCATCCTAGTTCACTGTTCAGAGAAACAACTGGTGCAAATCTTTGAAATCCCAAAAAGTATCTAACAGCATGGTTTTGTACAGCTTCAATGGAGTGGTATGTTTTATACCCCCAAACACCTACACACTAGTCAATGACTGTACGACACACGATTCGAAAAGGGTTTCAAACGTTTTAAGTGCAACATCCTTAAAATTAGAAATTTTTGATATCATTCCTCCTAGTGCCCGTCCTCCAGCTTTACCTAACGTTTCGGTGGCAACACTTAAATCCATTTTATCATGGAAAATAATGCCAAGATATTTGTATTGACTTACATACTGTAAACTATTTGGTCCAATCTTGAAATCAAAGGTGCTTTGTGAGACACACTGTTTTCTAAAATGCATGACATTTGATTTTGAACAATTCACACTAAGTCTCCAGGGTTGACACCAACTGTACAAAACATCTAAGTAACGTTGCATATCATTTTCGGTCTCTGGTAG